TAAGGCACAAATTTGAGACTCTGTAAGCAAATAAAGAAGGGGGGGTTACAGACACCAACAGTATCCATTCCAGCTGAGGGGCCGGAATGGAAGCATAGCTCTGTACTCTACAGTTAAAAGTCTGATCATTCTACTTGGGCTTTTGTGGCTGTCTTTTTTAGCTGACTTTATGAAAACAGATAGTTGTGGTAAATTTGATCACAGTGACATAGAAAGAGTACATCCACAAAATTGGCCTCCTGATTACTATTTGAGATGCCTGTTATTAGAGGTCTATAGGATGCCTTTACAAATACTTGCTTCTGGCCAATTTTAAAAATACAGTTTGAAAATAAAATACAGTATAGGGTTCTGGTTATTTCAGAGAAGCTGTTTTCAAGCTTTTTGGTTTCAGGACTCTTTTGTCATCTTAAAAATTATTGAGGACCTCATCTGCAATCAGGAGAAGATAAAATAGATGAATGGGTCCTTCTAAGAATCAAATTCCTGTGCATATCCAAAAACTTCTCCAACAAGGTAAAAAGGGAAGCCACAGACTGGGAAGAAGTATTTGGTAATGACATGTCAGATAAGGGGCTAATATCTAGAATTTATAAAATACTTGAGCACCACAACAAGATAAAGGTAAATAATCCAATTGAAAAATGGGCACAGAATATGAACAGACACTTCACCAAAGAAGACATTCAGATGGCCAACAAGCACATGAAGAAAGGTTAAACATCCCTAGCTCTAAGAGAGACGCAAATCAAAACAACTGTGAGATATCATCTCACCCCAGTCAGAATAGCAAAATTTAACAGAACAGCAAGCAACAAATGCTGGTGAGGTTGTGGAGAAACTGGAACCCTTATTCACTGTTGGTGGGAGTATAAAATGGTGCAACCACTGTGGAAAGTGGTATGGCACTTTCTCAAAAAGTTGCAATAGAGATACCATTTGATCCAGCAATTCCACTACTGGGACTATATCTCAAAGAGACCATAACTGACATCTAAGCAGATGTATGCACACCCATGTTTATCACAGCTTTGTTCACAATAGCAAGGAGTTGGAAACAACCCAGGTGCCCATCAACAAACGAATAGATAGAGAAGCTGTGGTATATTCACTCAATGGAATACTACGCTGCTTTGAAAAACAAGGAACTCATGCAATATTATTAAAAATGGGTGACCCTGGAGGACATTATGCTGAGTGAAGTATCTTAGTCACAAAAGGACAAATATTGCATGGTGCCACTGGGATAAAATGGGACTGATACAGGGGTTGTGGTAAGACTGAGAAAAACTGGATAAATTATGACTGCACTGAAACAGATGAGGGAGAGAATAATTTAAAAGCGATGTATGATATGGTATTATGGTTATCACAAGAGTCCACAATTAAGGTTGCATAGTGGAATGTACTTGGAGCAGTGGGAGGGGTGTGGGGGGATTGTGTACCAGGGAGGGAGTTTTTCATTTACTTTTCAAAGAGAGGAGCGATCTGGTGGGGCTGGGGGGGTGGGAAAAGGGCTGGGCAGGGAGAGAAGTGCAGCAATGAATGAATGGAAATCCAAAATCTCTGTAAATGTTCATTAAAACTATTAAAATTGGTGGGGGTAAAACTGAGAAAAACTGGATGAAATATGTTTACAGCATTGAAGTCTATGGGGGAGAGAATAGTCT